GCATAAGTGGCTCCAGAGAATAGCGATATAAGAATTTCAGTCTGTATGGGGGATGCCACGCCCCTTTTTCCAATGCCATAAGTAGGGTATTTACAATTTATGTATCCATGCCAAGTTTGAGTTCACCAGCGTAGTTGGTTTAAAAGATATATTGGTGCCCTTCAAAGAGGGGTGTGAAAATTTAATTATGAGGTATGTGTGTATAAATATGTATAGATATCCATCATTTTACCAGTGTAGAAGATATTTAGGAATATCTCGGCCACAATGCCACCTATTGTGTAAGTTTTTAGTCCAAATATTTATTTTCAATTGGCTAAATACAAATCGGTAAGTAAATACAGTTTTTAGGAATACCCCGACCCTTGCGCCACCTATCGAGTGCATTTTTATCTCTTTTCAAGGTGCTGACATATGTTCTAAATATGATCCAAATCGAGCTAGCCGTTTAGTAGTTTAGTGACATTAACCGGTCTATTCTGCGCTGGTAATAAAATTTTGTAACCGGTGAACATAGTTCCAGTCAATTTTTAAACACTTTTCGCATTCTGTGTACTCTTGTAACCGATAAATTTTGTTAACATGCCATAAGCTGGTAACAAAATATTGCCCCGTTGAATATGCAATGCCAGAATTTCCAGAATTCTTCATGGCTGAATTGCTGAATATTATTATATTTACTGACGTACCTATTTAGAATCGCGGTGACAAGAACTGAGACTATTTGGTATTCAGTACCCTGTCTCACGCCTCTAGTCTCAAAAATAAATTACTAATTTGTCAGCTGGCTAAGAGCAGGTCACAAAAATAAAAATATGGAGCAAAGGATAATTTCTTTCAATTTTATTAAAAAAAAAAAACGCGAAAATGAAGCGAGGAAATTTGTTCAACAACAGTTTCATTAGGAAATAAACCAAAAAACTTTAACGATTGTGTAAAAAAAATAAAACTAACCAAAAATAAATAAAAAATTCTCTACGCCCGAGGGGGACTCGAACTCCGATCTCTCGACCGGCAGCCTAATGCTTTGACCAATTGCGACTCTTTGGGCGGTGCGGGAAAAAGGCATACATAAACGCTATCAGTTGACTGTCTGTGTTTGTTTTCCCCACACATTTTTGGTGAACTTTTTGTGCTCCTACTGAATACCCAAATAATCTCAAGTCACAAAAATAGTCATTTATTGCTAGTCTCAAATTTAGTGACTTGAGATGAGACTGAACTACTGAATCCCAGGGTTCAACAAGCAAAGCTAGTGTTGTGTGAAATGGTGGCCTCTGAAAAAGTAGTGATAATCCCTTTGAGATAAATTAGCTTTTTTTGGCTCAATATCAAGCTGATAATAAGCCTTGCAAGTAGTTTGAGAACAGCAGCTAAATCTAGTCCACTTCAAATAGATTTTTTGGTGCCCTTTTGTATTAGAACGGTTTAGATATCAAACCCATTTCAAGCCCAAATCAAGCCTTGATATCTAGGGCAAGTGTTGATAAATGGGTGTGCTATCGAATTTCTCGCTATTTGATATCAAGCTTAAATGATTACTGGGAACGTACTCAAGTCGGTTGAACTCAAGAAAATAGACAATTGAAAGCAATCACAAAACATCACCGCGATTACTTAGTAGTAAAGCACGATTGAGAGAAATGGAGATTGCGCCAATCGTGGTACCGCTAATCCGCTCTTTGTGATTTTGACAGAATCAGCTGTGTGCGTGACGTCATCTTGGTGCAATTGTTGATTGTCAGCATCCAAATAACAATTTTAATATTCGTGTGTTAAGATTTCTGCGTGGTTTTAAACAATTACAAACATTACAAAGCAAAACGAAGTGTGCAGTGGCAAAGTGTAATAGTGAAAACAAAAGGAATGCGTGCGATATATTTTTTTTTTTTCGTTTGCTACGGACGCAATCCTGGCTAAAAAGTGGAAGCAGTTCTGCCGGCGAGGTGATGCATTAAATACCAAATCGAGCCTTGTGCTATGTGTGTGAGCTATGAGCTTCTACATGGAACCATGTTGGCCTTTCCTTGGTGAATTGTAGTAAGTACATAGGTAGGCAAGTGCTGGTTTAGTTTGCTGGCAATGGCATACATACAAAAGCAGTTCCCACAGTAAATAGATACATGAACTTCACTACCTACTTATTTTGGTTAGTACCTGATTCTTTTTAGTGCTGGTATGAGGTAATGCATCAGTGGATAAGGTTGGCTACCGTCCACAAATATAAATATGCGCTCAGCATGGTTTTTTACAATGGCGAGTCCAAAAATTCACTTTGCTGCACACCTTCCTTTGGATCTACATGAAATTGCAAACACTGTTAATACATCCATTTTTTCGTGTGCTAAAAATCTTACTTACCTAAAGGGCTGCATGTCCAAAACTATTGCTACGTGTTCCTAATTAATCAATCTTTGTATATTTATTAATTCCTGCTAAATTGGGCCATGTAATATTAAAATTAACACATTTTTCTGCATTGTTTACATATTTTTATACGCGTTTTGGCATTTCTCTCTTGCAATTGCACCAAGATGACGTCGCGCAAAAATTCCGCTCAAAAATCCTCTCTCATTGGCGCAATCTTGTATTCTATCATTCTTGTAGTAAAAGTATTTAAAGTGTAGATTGCCTAACCTAGTGGATAGGATCATGCCAATTCACCGACTATTTTTCGTCAAATCAGAAAAAGCGAAAAAAAATTAATATTCCAGCCAAGTAAAATATGTAGTCGGTAATTGTCTCACTTTGTATGAGATTGTGAAAAAAATGCCGAAACCGATAAGCTTGAAAAGTATGTGATGGCAAGAGCGAAAAACTACGCGATGACCGAAGAAGAAGAAAGAAGGAATGGCAAAAATTTATAAATAACAATTTTTATCAGTCGTCGCTGCTGTTAAGTACAAAACACATCACTTATGCATATGGGTGTATGTATGTAAGTATATGATCATTGTACGTATGTACAAATGTAAATTTATACATGGATAGGTACACTAATTTTCATGTCGAAGTGCTTAAAGCGAAAGGGAGGAGAGCACGCTCCTTAAACAGATACGATTTGAAGAGCGTACACCTCCCCAACGACGATTCGAATGTTCACACATTATAACGATGATGAGAAGCAAACTATTAAAGTGTGAGTAGTGACTGGCGCTAAGTTTACTATAGTTACGGTGACCATCCGCCCTGTATTATACGGGACAGTCCTCTTTTTTGACCCATTGTCCTGGTAATTTGTTTATTTTATACGGAACGCCAAATGTTCCGTATTTCTTTTAAAGTCCTATATTTGTCCCGTATTTGGTGTTCCGACGCCTTAACAGCTCATTAAAATGGCATGCCTATGAACGAGTTTTAAGTGCTGTTGGTATATAACAAAAACCATATAATACCAAATTCCCAACTTTGTGGAAATAACTCTTAATAATAATTCTGCAATGTTTCACCAAAATTTCAAAATTTTGTAATAGAAAAAAAATTGGTTTGCAGTTTTGTAACTCTTTAAAATTGAGTATAATAAAGTGCGAGTGGAAAGTACTGCTCATTTGCTTCTCTTTCAAAAAGAAAAAATGATCGAACATATTTACATACTTTGTATGAAAAAAATGTGTCAACAAAAAAATTGCCAAAAATTAGTGGTAAGCCTTACTGACTTAAAATTGCAATTTATTATACTAAAATTTAACGAATTTTTTAAACAAATTTTACGGGGTAAAAATCTCGAGAAAATTAACCTTAAAATTTGTGAAGTTACTATATGGATACTGTTTCAGGGAAAACAGTGTGGAAGAAATTTGCAATTTTTTTGCCCCGTATTCGGCTCTTATAAATATGGTCACCGTAACTATAGTGATGATCATAGAGAGCGAGAGTGTACCCAAATGGTGGCTTATGAAGACAATACTGAGCAGTGATCGCGCTAGAGATGTGAGGAAGACAATAAATAAATAAAAAAATTAAAAAAAAAAACACAAATTAACGAAGTAAACAAGTAGAATAAACAAAGAATTGGGAATAAAATAATAAATGCTTACTACACACAAACCCACGGGCATACGGAATTGCACTATTAACGTGTGTGTGTTGTGAAATTTCGCCCAGCTATGAAGGGCTTCTAAATATGAATATTGATTTTCAGAAATGGAATAGAGGAAACCATTTTTTAAAGGGAACTGTGGCTAAAAGGGAAATATTAGAGCTGGAGATCAAATTAATAGAAAATATTGAGAGTAAGTGTTTTTAAAGCGAAATTTCATACATTTACATGCGATGTCAATTGCAACTCTGTACGAGATAAAGACACCGCTTATCAACGCACGCTTGTCACACGCACTCGAACAAGAGCAATGGCAAACAAAATACGAAATTCCACTGATATACATATGTATTATTTGTATAAAAAATGGCAGATTCGTATACACCGTACATACTTTCCTAAATACCCAGCAAAAGATCGGTAATCGCTTTTAGTGGCAATGTGTTATATTGCCTTATAATGTCTTATAATTTTTTCGCTTCTTTTAGGCATTACCGGTAATGCAGAGTAGAATTTTTTACAATATTTTATTAATTTCGCTGCTTTGATTCATTACGGGGAATGCAAAGTAGACTGCTTCACCGTAGTCGGCTGAAAAATAGAATGAATACCCACAAATTATTTTCTACTGTTAATTTCTGTGCATATAAAAACCATGTTTTGCTTTGTTTAATTTACAGCGAAGTTGAAGTCAGTCAATGAACTTAAGTACATGAGTGAGGAAGTCCAATTTTAAGTTTAATTAAATATGTATGTATGTATGTATGTACATAAAAACTGATTTATAAAAATTTTAATTAATTTTAATCTTTTAAGACAAACGAAATGGTAAGATTATTATCACGGATTACACTCTACCTATATATAATAATAATAACAACAACAATCCAACTATACCAAGTGTTTACCTACAAGACAAGCATTTACTTCGATTGAATACACAAATATACGGTACACTCACACTATTTAACGGCCATTGGCAGGAATTATTCAATTTTGCGGCCTGTTAAAAACCCAAAAACACGTGCATTTTTACCGCAAAGTTAATTCCGATCACAAAAATTTTACACTTTTCACAAGTTGCTATTACAATGGAGTAACTAAATTGCGTTGGCATGAGTGCAACTATATACATATATGATGTATGTATGTTTGTATGTGCATGTGTCGTATTTATTCTCACTTATTATTTTTTCACTTTTTAACAACTACTATGCGCACACTAGCAGGTCCATACATATGTAGCTATTTTGTATGAGCATCGTAAATAAGTTGCACTTGTTGATTGATATTGCAGCTGTAAGCCAGCAACGAAAAGCGACGCAAAGCGTTGCGGCAAATGCAAAAATAACAAAATTTCAAATCAAACCAAAAAAACACAAATATTCAACTTTTATATTATCAACGAATGAATCTTGAACCACTGCAGCAGATCGCGACCACTTTCATGCGCATTTGTATGTATGTGTGTATGGGTATAAATGGCACGGTGCCACCACGACGAGATTCGACCGCTCTCTTTCACCACGATTCACGGAATGAGCAGCGGCAACGGAAACTGTTGGCAAGATCAACTGCACTAAGAGCACACGCCACAATAGAAACGGCCATTACTCTTCCTCTAATGGAGGCAAACTCACCTACACACTCGTATGTGTCGCACTAAATATGTAAGAGTGTGCGTGTGCGCTCACTAAATTTGCTTCTTTTTTTTTTTTAGTTGTCACTTTCTCACTTCTTTAGTTCGTTGAGTGTTTTCCGTTCACCGTCATTTTTTGTAATCATGGCTTCAGGAATGTCCGTCGCGCACCTCAGCGTAATATTTTTCCACTTTGGGCGTTTCTTTCTTTTGTTTTTCTTTTTACACTAAGATCTTTCACTATTCACTTTACTTACATACAAAATTTAGCGCGTTTACTATTATTAAAATAAATAAAAAATGCACTTGAATTATACGGTCAGTTTTGTTGCACATTGGTTTAACACATTGAAGTTCTAGCAAAGCTATTAGCCAACGTCAATTCGAAGCTACTGCAATTGGCAATTTTCGCGTTTTTGCATGCAGTGGTTTTCCGGAGTTTAAAGAAGCAAAACAGAAATTCAAATGATCCATACAAATCTGCAAACTGCAGATAATTAATTTGTCAATTCACTGCAGCACAATTCAATTCAAAAAACACATTCAAAACGCGCCGTCGCCAACAACAAACAATAGAAAATTACACGTCACATCGCCGCGCGAATCTCTTTACAACTGCCCACCTCACTGGCTGTGGCTTTTAATCCCTTCCAACAGCAGCAGTCGCATCAGCAACAGTCGACGGTTTCTTAATCTCTCACTCAATTGCTTGTTTAGAGTTTTTATTCTTTATTTCTGATATTTTCTATGACGTTTTTGCCCCTCTTCACTTTACTCTTGACTGGTGAATGCACACTTGGCATCCGCACATTTTGATAATTGTACGCTTCAAAGTGGCATTAACGAAACCAACTGACCGACCATGTGGGAGCGAACGCCAAGAAATACCCGCTATTGCTGTTGCATGAGCAGCAGCCGCCACTCGGAAATTCAACACAAACACCACCCATACACATGCCAAGCAAGCAGACGAAGTAAATAAGCGGATGACGGTCGGAAAGCCGGATAGCGTATCGGTCAACTACGGTAGTGCGCAAGAAGCTGTTAGAAAACGGCCGCACAACCGCCTGCAATGGAACAGCCTGTTGAAGGTGGGCGAGCAGCGCGCAGTGAATGGGCAGGATATTCGATTAACCGGTTGCTTGCAATTTTGTGGCAACAATAGTGTGGTGAAAATTAGTTGACACGCAGGGTGATTCGAATGGCGAAAATAGATTTTGAGAGGGGAAACGGATGCCGATTAAGCAATACAGGGCATTTCAGGGTAAGTTTTTGAGATGGATCTTCAATGTACTTGCGGAAACATGTCTGGCGAACAGGGAATGCAAAGGAGAGGAATTAAAAGTTTTACATTAAATACAACAAAATAAAAAAATATTAACATCTAACTATGAAACAAACTATCAAAACTCATACATTTATACATGCATACGACGTGTGAATGAAGATTTACTGCACAATTATTCACTTGTTAAAGCGCTCTCCGGTTGATCAATAGAAGTCGCGCTCTGAGAGAACGTTTAACTATCGACAAAGTTTAGACGGCTTCTGAGCGCAATAACTGGAAGGTAATCAGAGTCCGTTCATGTAGATAAGTTAGGAATGCAAAAAAACCTTCAATAAAACGCTCAGTGGTGATTAGTGATTAGTTGAAAGCTGAGTAGCTAAACGGAAACAACTGTTTTCGTGTGCAGTTGCCGTCACAAGCAAATAGTTTTATTTATTTATTTATAAACTAATTTTAAAGTTCGATTAAAACTGTTCGCAAATTGATGAAGAATCGTTTAATTATTGTACTTGCAGCCCGCGCAAACGCCGAGTGTAGTGAGCAGTGAAATTTAATATCAAAACAAATGAACAGTAATTCATCAAAATAATACTCAAAACAAAATTACAAGTAAAACAACGAGTGTCGCAACAGAAATAATGCCATGTAAAGGCCGCATAGTCTGCGTGGGCATGTGTGTACTGGATGTCATACATCTTGTGGAGCAATACCCCGTCGAGGATACCGACAAACGCTGTCTGGCTGGCTATTGGCAGCGTGGCGGCAATGCTTCCAATAACTGCACTGTGCTGCGACAACTGGGCGCTCCTGATGTCGAATTTATGGGCATGCAGAGCGCCTCACCGGCATTTAGTTTCCTTTATGAAGACTGTCGCAAGCGTGAAATATGCATAGAGAATTGTCCCAGTACAAATATGGATCCACCCTTTTCATCGGTCATACTCAACCAGGCAACTGGCTCGCGCACTATTATACATTCGAATCCTGGATTTCCCTCGCTGACGTTCGAGCACTTGGCTCAGCTGAAATTGACCAACTATGGTTGGGTGCACTTGGAGGGCCGCAATCCTGAGTCTATGTTACCATTCATACGTGATATTCGCGCACACAACAAACAGCTGAAAGATCCGAGGGGGCGTATTAGAATATCGGTGGATTTGGAAAAAATGAAGCATGAAATTTTGGAGTTGGGTGAGGCCGCCGATTGTGTGTTCCTGGGAAAGGATTTGGCAACTTTCTTGGGTTGGAACAAACCAGAGGAAGCAGTAATGGGTTTGTATAACAGATTCAAGCCTCAGCGAGGGGAGAACAACGCCAAGCCGGCAATTGTATGCCCATGGGGTGCCGATGGTGCTGCCTGTGTAGACGCGCATGGTAATTACGCTTTCGTGCCTTCAAAGCCGGTACAGAAGATAGTAGATTCGCTAGGCGCGGGCGATACATTCTGCGCAGCTGTCATATACGCGTTACACATGCTCGATAAGGATTTGCAAGAGGCGGTACAGTTCGGACACGCAATCGCTGGATACAAATTAGCTCATCGCGGCTACGATGACATTGAAAGCTTTTCGCAAGGTCGGTAAAGTGTTTGAAAATACTTGTAAATTGGAATTGTTTAGAAGGTCAAAGTATCCGTTAAGTAAATTTTAGAAAAAAGAAAATAATTTAACTAAATTTAAGCTACTTACAAATGTATATTATTAATTATGTACATTGACTTTAATAGAAAATGGAAAAATAAAGTCTCTGTTTTTATGTAGAACACCGTAGAGGTGGGCTGAAATGAATAATTCACCTCAGCATTCAAAACCCCTACGCCAAAACGAAATGACGTTGTGTCGAGTAGCGGGTGAAATGCATTGCAACGGTAGTGCAAAGACTAAATGAGAAATTAATAAAAAATATATATATATATGTATATCCCACCGTACTGGGGTCGACCGGACTTGATTATGAGTTGCTCCCAAACACTTGTCGCCAGAGGTACTTGCCTTTTTCCATCACATTCCAACATGATTTTGACTTCAGGCCATTTTCCTTTAGTCTCAAATTATACGAACGGAGAAATTGTGTAAAAACGTGTGAAATCAATCAAATTTTTATTTGCATTGCAAATTTTCTTTTTTATTTTTGATCAAAATTCCAAAGATGTCAAAATGTTTTCCTCAATTAATTTTCTATTTTTGATATCGCTGGCGGTCACGACGTGGATTATTCTCTGCTATTTCAAACAAATTGAACTACAGAGGGAAGAGAAAATGACTGTAGAGGTCAAAATGGGTAAAATGCTTGCGATTTAAGCCACACAAAAATCAAAATATTTCAATTTTAGATAACACATTTGAAGAAAACCTCAAGCCGCACGTGTGCCTGGACAATTATGACATCTATTTGAACTTCCTGGGTGTTTTTGCATGCATTTATGCCTTGGCAAAAGTAGCCTCGCTGGCTGAGAGCTACGTCGCACACCACGTGCACACCCGCTTCAAGCACGGAAAGCTCTATGCCAGCCGGCATGTAGTGGAGCCTACGACTATCGACGAATATCGCATACAACATCTACAACTTACAATGCAGAATGATAACTTGGAAAAGCAGAACGCCAATTTAGAGCAGAAGGTGAAGCAGCTGGAGCAGATGAATTTCATGATGGGAGGGAAAGGACACGTCTACGGCGCGGTGCCGAACTGCGCAAGCAAACTCGGCCAATCAAACGATGTCAATAGCAAGAAGGAAGGCATCAACAACAAATCTCTACCGCAAGTTATACCGCAGGCCTGTGTGTGTGGGGGAGGCAACAGTGTCCCGAGTGCTGTATGCAATGGCGCAGCGGCTGTCAATGGACGAGTTGAAGGTGCTGTCAAAGAAGACCCTGCTACAGTCGGAGGAGTAATCAGAGTTCGGAATATGCTCATACAAGATCGTCACTATCAACTGACACGGCAGGTATATGTCAATGACGGCAATCTAAAGTTGCAATTTCAAGACTTTCACCAAGAAGTTGGCAGCATACCGCAAATCTGGCAAAAATATTTGGAAATGCAAAAATATGCGGTACAAAAGCCGACCAGGCTTGAGACGCCAGCAGAAGTGGCAAATAGTATGCCTATTGTTGTATCCACCGAAGAGCTACAATGGTTGAAAGGTAGCACCGCCCAGCAGAGAGGCAAGCGCCAACAACAGCCGACCCAGTATCCCACCACCAACTCAATGGCAACCGCAACAACACAGACACACATACACCACATAGCACAAACAAAAATCGCTTTACCCATGCAAGTTTCCTATAAAAATGTATTGGTTTGTCTACTGTGTTGGTACTTGTAAAGCTGGAAGCAGCGAGTTTGCACTGTCTATATTTTTGGACTTTGGTTCTTTATCACATCTCAATATTTGCAGGGTGCGTTTTGACAAATTCAAATAATATGGAATACTGAATAACCGAAAACCGTTCGCTGCATTTTTTATTTCTAAAAGCCGTTACATTGCCAATGTGATGAACTTCCGGCTTTTTGAGTTGCCGCCGTTGAAATTCCTGGCTGCATCCAAATAAATTTTTTGTACTTTATGTTATATATTTTTATAAAATATATTTTAAAAAATGGTAAATATTTGAGTGAATATATAAATTAACTAATCGTTAGCTTTAATTAAAAAAGGCTGGGAATTACGTTCTCACATGATCTGAAGGTTTGAATTTTATAAAAATAACGCAATTATGTAAAAATTTCCTGCTGACCATTTATTTCGTTTTGTACTGCCATTGGTTAGCCTATAGTTTGGCAGCACTGATCTCTGACAGCTACAATTAGGAATGCAACATCGCTCTTAAAAACATCGATGTTCCCAAAACAAACATCGATGTTAAAAAACATCGGTTATGGACCTGTGCCAATTGATAGAAAATAAGGCCCGTTTACATACAACTTTGGCGTTGCGTTGGCGTTGGCGTCACTTCGACAGCTGACTATGAGTACATGCATTTATATGAAAGTCTCCATATAACCAAAGTTGGGCAACGCCGATGCCAACACAACGCAGAAAGATGGCCAACTCTCAACTTTTCGCGTGCGTCGTGCGTCAGCTGTTCTAAATAATCAAAATTATGTGATTTAATTTTCATTTTTAATCAAATGCGGGCAAGAAATATGGTTTTTAATGCAATTATTGATGTAAAATTTTGATTTATCTGCCGCTAGTGTGTTAATTTAGTGACCAAAGTATTCTCTGCTACGCGTTCATTGTAGCAAGCACGGGCGTAACTCGCGCTGCTGTCAAAGCGACGCCAGCGCCAACGCGACGCCAAAGTTGTATGTGGACGGGCCTATAGGAAATTTTGAGGCATCAAAGAAAAAATTTCACATTTCTAGTGGATGTTTTGAAACATCGATGCAACGTTTCCATACCTAGCTACAATCACCTGGTGATCAGGGCTGCCGGCTTGGCTCAAACCGTGCCATTTTTGGCCCTATTTTACATCAAATGTCACTTAATTTTCCGAAATGGCAATTTTGAAAAATAGTAACGGTTGAATACATTTTTGTGAAATTCGTTGAATGTACTTTTTCTCAACTAAAGTTTTCTTATTTCCAAATATTTTACTGATTTATCTTATTTTTGGCATTGCACTTTGTTTAGAAATGTATGTAGTTCTAACAGAGAACGTATATATTCGTTCTCTGGTTCTTATGGGGCTTTCGCACGAGGCGATTTTTCAGGCAACTTTTGGGTTCAATTCACGCAGAGTTGCACGAAAAAAAATTGTATGGCTAAAAATATCAAAATATAAAAAAATATAAAAATATTCGCCATAAAAAGGTATTTGCATTGTTTTACTTTGCATTCTACTTTTGGTTGAATGGCCTTTCAACTAATCGCTTTCAACAAAGTTGGTCGCCAGCCAACATTTAGCCATTCAATTTTTTTTTTCGTGCAACCCATGGTGAGTTGAACGCAAAATCGACTCGAGTGAACACCTTTATATTTTATTGCTAAACTGGAAGTATTAAAAAATGATGGCGCCTATTTTGGCAATTCTATTTTTCTATTTGGCACAGTTTGACACTTTTTTATCCACAAAATTGCACCTCACAGGTAAGGAAAGTTGGCAGCTCTGCTGGTGATTGGTGGCAGGGTAGGGATGTCAGTTGTAAAAATACATCGATGTTTTTCTTTGATTCGATGCATCGAAATGTTAAACGATATTTTTCGATGTATCGAAGGGCATACATCGATGCATCGATTTGCATAGGATTTTTTCAGATAATGTTTCACAACAAAATATCTTATTAGCAAAATTGTGGAAAATTTGAAATAAATTACTGCAACTGAGCTAATGATGTTTCTAACGGAACTTCTTCCAGCCATTTAAATTGTTTGGCCAAAGTCACTTATTTTTTTTGGACAATTGAAAAACCAGAATGACGGTTCAATGTACCGTAGATGTCAGTTTTCAAAAAACATCGATACATCGACTATTTATACATCGAGGGGAAAATTTTCGATGCATCGAAGCAAAACATCGATATTTTCGATGCATCAATGTTTTTCGATATTTTCGATACGTCGATGTTTTCCGACATCCCTATGGCAGGGGAAATTAGAAATTCTACAAAGATGTATAGCGTATTTATTGCTATTGCGACTCTAAAAACTATTAAATAAGGAAAAAATAAGTTATTTTTATTCTTATCCAGTTCGTAAGTGAATAAGAAGCCGCAAAATGGGGAAGGGTTTTAACAACTATATGTGTAAGAAGTTTTTCCATCCAGCCTCGAGAGACAATCTAAAGAGGGTAAGTGTGCTTACCAAAAAATTTGTTGAAGGTTTTTAGTTATAATTTATAACTAAGTGTTTATCTTCATTTACTACATCCCCCTTTGAAATTTATAAAATCCTGCAGGTTTGGATGGCCGAGCAGCAAGCGGAGGCTTACAAGAAGAAACAGGAGGAGCTACGAAATCAGTACGAAAAGGAACAAAACTTGCATGAAAACAAAGCGATGCTAAGCAAGGATAGCAAGGACAAGCTAAGCGTGAACTTCATGTACGAACCGCCTCCTGGCGTACGAAAGGAGCGTGAAAAAGACGACACGGAGCCAGAGTATAAATTTGAGTGGCAACGGAAGTTCAACGCGCCCCGCGAATCATACTGCAAAGGCGACACCGAGATTCGTGATCAGCCCTTTGGTATCCAAGTGCGCAATGTTCGATGCATTAAATGTCACAAATGGGGTCACATTAATACCGACAAAGAGTGCAGCATGTATAGTATTTCGATGAGCGAAGCCCGCAAACTGCACTCGGAAGCTGAGGCCAGCGAGATGATGGCAAAGAATGTGCTCGAGGAACAGATGAAAGAAGATGGCCTGGTAATGAAACGATCCGCCATGGAGCTACAAAACATCAAGCAAATTAATCAACAGCACAGACTGGTGCCTAGTGATGACGAAGAGGGTGAAAAGAAGGGAGGCAAGCGTAATGGAAATACTGAAATGGCTTTTTTAAAGTCGTTAAGCAAGGAACAGAAATTGGAACTGTTGAAGAAGTTAGAAAAGATTGAGAAACTAAAAAAGAAAAAGGAAAAACGCAAATTGAAGAAAGAAAAGTATGAGAAGAGCAAAAAAGAAAAGAAATCAAAGAAAAGCCGTTCGAAAAAGTCGAGCAGTAGCAGTGGAAATTACTCTGACGAAAGTGAAGAGCATAGTTCCAAAAAGGAAAAGCGGAAGTCGGCACAAAAGAAAACCAAAGGTGATCGGAAAAAGAGCAGACGTGCAGATTCGAGCGACGAGTCGAGTTCCTCTAGTGATTCTTCCAATTCAAGTTCAGAATCTGATGCAGAGTCTTTTAAAAATATACGTGGTTATGATAAGAATGGATATAGACACAAAAGCTCAACAGATGTGAAACGGCACCATCGCAGCCAATCACGCGATGATGGCAGAAATCGTGGACGGGATGACCGACGAAAGAGCCCCACAAGATGTGAACGAAGGGAAAGTAGTCGTTCGAGGGAAACACGCAGGGAACGCAACTACTCCAGAGACCGGCGAAATCGCAATTCTTCAAATGAACGGGGCCAGATGCATTCAAAAGATCAACGACGAGGCCGGAGCCGCTCAAGGGATAGACGTCGTGAGCGCAGTCGTTAAATGGCCACTTGTTAACGACAAAATTTTAATAATGTTTTTGTAACCATATCTGTAACTATATATATATATGTGGATGATGCATTTAAGAAAAATATAGAACGAACTCGTAAACGGAGTCAGATCATGATTGACAAATTTTTCGTTACAAACTTCTGTAGGACCAATAAGAGCAACAATTGTATGTTTTGAATTTTTAATGAATGAAATGCTAATTATAATAATGTGTTAGTTGAGTCCAAATTTAGTCCTCTGAATCCAAATAATCAACTCAGTTTCTTACGGCTGCGGTAGTGCTCGATCCAGCGGTTACACAAAAGTCCGTACCATGATTGCCCGAGTCGCGTGGAACGTTCTGAAAAAAAATATATCAAACTATGAGAAATAAGCAGAAAAAAATGTACCACTTACCTTAACTTGAATGTGACTCTTAAGCATTGCGGCACGCAGAATGGCCATACGTAAACGTCTCTGATATTCCCTGCCCATACTAATGGCGCGCTCGAAAGTGCTGTTACGCTGATCGGCCTCCTTGGCACACAGTATTTTATTCTGTGAATCAATACGCGCCTGAATCTGCCCATCTAGAATAAGTTGCATAACCTCATTCTCCAAAGCTGGTACACTGCGATTAAAAGCGGTTGCCATTTTACGCATATCGGCCGATAGATAAGGACTAAAATATTGGATTAGCGCGCGATTTCGGATCTTTGTATAGAGTGTGTTTACGTGTGGAGCTATGTACATATCTAGCAACAAATTGTCGCGAATCTCATCGAGTAACTTTAGGCAGGATGCGTATTTGGATTCATAGAATTTAAAAATTATATCACGCAACTGCGGCTCCAGTTCTAGAAACAACTTGAACGAGCTCGACGATATTACATTTTTTTGTAATTCCTGGCGATCGAAGGTGGCTAGTGCACAAAGGCCTCCATACATAGCAACATTGTTTTGGGATAGCATCTCTGGAAATTCGCAGTGGTCGAAGCTGGCCTGCAAAAATTTCTTGGCCGCTGATTTGTATTTTTTTGTTTGCAGTTCGGCAAGGCCTGCTGCGCATTTAAGACGTGTGGCGACAGACTGTAAAAATGGTTTATTAAAATGCACCTTAAAAGCAATATCGATTACTTACCAAATTGGCTTCCTTAGGACCCTCCATGAAATCAGGTGTGCTCTCCGCTTTGTTAACATAGCTAAGCACGTGTGCCCAGTTTTGTAAGTACAACGATACCTTAATGACGTTCAGACACATATTAATCACATGTTTTCCGCTGGTGCAGTAGTCGCGTGCGCGCGAATAGCATTTCAATGCATTAGTTAGATCCCCACAGCTCAAATAATGATCACCCAAGTCATCGTGTCCACGTCGTATGCTTTCTTTGATCGAATTCGATTTGTAATTTTTTAAATCTGAATCCAGTTTTTCCAAATTGAACGCAGCTTGTTTGCTCTTAGTTTCCACCCAGTTGCTGTCAAAAGCTGGCAAGTCCAATGCGTCGGCGCCACCCACAGCCCCACCTGCCTGTGCTGCTGATTGAGCAGCCACATCAGGTAGGCCCGCAGCGCCGCCGGGCTGACCTGGCCCCCCAGCACTAAGTTCTGCTAGTTTCTTGTGCAGTGATTGGTACATGCTAACATTGTACGTTGTCATTACATGTTTGATAGCCATCTTAAGTGCCTCGACACGAAGTGAAGGGCACACATCGGCCACGAATTTCAGACGGTATAATGTAGCCAAACCCGTATACGAATTGGCGTAAACTTCGAGATCGAGCGATGGATTCTCAACAATCAGTTGGTGTTCCTCATTGTTGTCGTTATCTTCTATGGGCGCGTCCACTTGCATCGGTTCGATAGCATTCTTGATTAACAGGCGAAATAGGCAAAGGACAAGGGGTGAGGTACAACAAAGAAGCAATGACGTTCAATTATTTGAGCATTAGGCAGCTGCACTTAACACAACTCACCTGCGCCAATGGTCCCGGCATCAGTGACATATTCTGGTTCGTATTATTGTATAAAGAATTTATTTACGGCTGTATAAACAGAATTAAACGAAAATTTCTAATTTTTTATCACCGTCGATTTCAGAATTTCACCAATCGTTTGCGCACACAGCCGGTTTTGACAGCAAAGTGCTTGCTTGATTTTGCGAAACCTTGCCAGACCCGTTCTAAGCGACAAAAAGGTTGTTTTCAATCATGAAAGCTTTTCAAAAATTTCAACACTTTCATATTGCGTTCCTTATCTCCCAGAAATAGTAGGAGCGTTCCTTATCTCCCAGAAATAGTCAGAAAAAGTCCGAAGTAGTCAGATTTAGTCCAAAAAGCGTTCCTTAACTCGGAAATGACAGCTAAAATGAGAGAGCAACACCCAGTGAGAGTGACTCTCATCAGTCCGAAGTAGTCAGATTTAGTCAGAAGAATTTTTTCTGGCAAAATCCTGAAAAGTGTCAAACTCAACTAAATTTAAATTAACGGAAATTAAAGAATATGCAAAAAGTGAGAATAATCTAAAAAGTAAAAAAAGTGAATTGAAATTGGAAGGAGGCAAAAAATAATTGATATAGTAAGTGTTTATTGTGCTTGTGCTTGTGTGAATGTGTTTTGTACATACATTTCCATTTTTATTTGACGTTAGCTTTGTTGTTGCCATTCTTTGGACTAAAAATTTGGCTTTTTGCGTTCCTTTACTTTTTCTGTTATTCTCTTTTAGTGAGCGCATTTTGCTTACGCTCTGGCATTTTGACACTGTTCAGATTTTAGTCCAAAAAGATAAGGAATGAACCTAGTAGCTTTGTTTCTTAACAGATATTTATCACGAATTATAACTAATCACTAATAACCACTAATTTCTGGTGGAAAGCGTTTCTTAACCCAAAAAACTAGCATAAACTATCAGCTCTCTCTCGTTCTTACGTAAAATTTTTACTAGCAGAAACGAGCCGCTGTCAAAATGAATAAACAAAAATTCGCGCTAAATATTTTCAATAGTCAAATGCACCGATCAGCTGTTTACTTGCTGTTTCTGCTAGTGTTGCGTTTCTTTACTTTTTCGTTATCTCGCTCTCTGTGAGCGTCTGTCTCAATTTTCCCATTCTGACTCTTCCTGATAAGTATCTGCTAGAAAATAAAAGAAACAAAGCCAGTAGCGGTAAACTCTTGATAAACTTGATAAAGTGATAAGTTTATCATTTTGATAAATGAGCTGTCAAACTTTTTATGAAAATCTATTCAACCAAAGTTTATCAGTTTATCAAACAACTTTGGAGGATAAATGTATAAATTTCAGCAAAATTCAAGCCTTACAGGTTGCCAAGTAGTCGCTTTTGCTACGGACACATAAAAGCAAATGAACACAATGGATGACGTAAGAATGAAACGTATCTAGCCGTATAAGTTAAATTAACATCAGTTTTCTGCGAATATTTACCAAGACGCGTTCATGAAGGGATGCGGATAAACAGATACATTTAAGCAATTTATCCCTTTATAACTTGATATGAACACCCCTAGTCAGAAATAGTCCCAAATAGTCAGATTTAGTCCAAAAATTGTTGCTTAACTCGAAAATTACAGCAGAAATGAGATAGTAACACCCGTGTTTATCAATTTTGATGAAGACCCCTACTTTGTGACGAACGCAGCCAGCAAAAACTCCGAAACCCGATCCGAAAAAAGACAAAAAAGTGGATAAAGTGCGGATTTTTATCCGTTTAAATCCAGTAAAAACTTGCAACTTCAACTGTCATTTGCAAGTTTTTGCGTACGAAAACGCCAAAACATGAAAATTCGTAAAAACTTTTACTGGATTTTACTGGAAATGAGTAAACAAACGCAATTATTAACCCTCTTTCGGCTTTGGTTTGGAACCGATTTCTGAGATAGGGCGTTCTTCAACCAAATTCTGTGATAGGGTGTTTTTCAACATTTTCAATATTTTTTTTTCTGAATTTATGCAAGTTGCACTAGAGATTTCCTGTTTTTCTCGATTTTGGTAAATAAATTAGTCATTAAACCGTATTTTTTTGTGCACAACTATTTACTGATATTTACACATATAAATAGTTTTGACGAAGGTACAGAAACCACACTTGGCAGTGCAGCTGCTTTGTCTCGGAAACCATATGCGAGTGCGCAGAATGTCTCCATCTCAAAAGATTTCCCTATATATGTACATATATATATACACATTAAGATTAAGGATTCTTTCTCAAATTAATTACTGCAAATCAGGACCATCTATTATTACTAAATTGGTGAAAGTATAAATTTTATGCGATACTTCACATCTGTTTGGCGCACTGCGGTTGTAGTTATTGGACGTTATTTTAACGATATGCCTGTGCACTAATGCATTTGAGAACATACCCACACTTTGATCATTACCTCTCATTTGATGAAATAGCATAACCACAAGTATCTGGCATTTTAAATAAGTTTTTTCTTTTTGTTCGTTACTTTCTAAAACAGTTATTTTTTGATTTGAAATCGATTTTTTTTTGTTTTATATTAATTTATAATGTTGCTAGTTTCAATTGGGTTAACGCAATGACACAACCGTTTTCATATAAGCGTATAAAAAATAAATATGTCATATATTGATTTCACTTTGCTTATTACACTATGCTTGGGTTTAGCTAGAAAGCTTTATAAGGTGACATATTCAACAAATTTGTCTGATTATGACCCCATTATTTTATAAAGATAACGACTTACTTTTTTATGAATTTAGACCGAGGCGGTTTTTATTAACGGTGATAAAAATTTCGATTTATTTCGATTTCAATTTCTTTTATTAAAAAAAAAATATATATATTTAAATTCTGCTAAATATCTATATACAAGTATTTGTATACCTAGATATTAACAACTTTTTCGAAATTCAAATTTCCGTAGTTTCAAAAGCACCTTTTTCTTCGCTTTTACTCTCCAGTTCAGAAACATCTACACTCTCCGTGCTTGTTGCTTCTTTTGGCTTTTCTGGAACTTCTGGCTGCGCGGCGCGTTCGAAAAGTATGACCAATTCTGTATGTGTGGTATGCGGAAACATATCTACAGCTATTGCTGTTTTTGGAAAAAATGGATTTCCTTTATATTGCTTCGATTCCGGTCGGCCAAGTTCGATCCAGTTTCGTTGCGCATGCAGTGGATTGCAAGATACATATACCAGACGCTTGATGGCAGTGGCTGCGCGTATTGCCGCTATAGATCTGTTATCTGAAATATAAAAAATATTGAATATCTGTTCAAATTACAGCTTATGTATATAGAAAAACTTACGCAGTCCAGCCCGCGGCGGATCTACTACAGCTATCAAGTCTAGTGGCGCACCAGGTGCATTGCCGTACACAACTTCACGCACCATTGATTGTATGTAGTCATCAGCGTTGCCAGCAAAGAATTTGCAGTTTTCTATCTTGTTAGCAGTGGCGTTAGATTCTGCATCTTTGATTGCCTCTGGTATGATTTCCACTCCCAACACCTGCTTACAGTGTTTCGCAAAAGCCAGTGCTATGGTGCCGATGCCGCAACAAATATCCAACACTGTTGAATGTGGTTGTGGGGCGGCTAGTTCGATAGCCTTGTCGTAAAGTACTTCAGCGCCATGTGTGTTTATTTGAAAAAAGGCCAGCGGGCTTATTTTAAAGGCGAGATGATGTATGTTATCGGTGTTGTGTGTGCTACCGTAGAGGTGTTCTACAGGGGAAACCAATTGACCTGCTGCGCGATGTTTTACATCTTGGTAATACAAAGATGTACACTTAAATCCCCGCTCTTTGTCTGTAAAGGTTTCGTAGTATTCTTTTAATTTCGACTTTAAATCTGTGAGCTCAGAATCGGTTAAATTTGAAGAATAAATGCCAGCAACCAACATTATTTCGCCACTGTGCGCGGATGTGCGTACCATTAACTGCCGTATATGCCCAGAGTTATCCTCTGGATTAAACGGTAAAAATTTTGAGTTCCTAACAAACTGCTGAAAACTTTGAGCAGCCCATTTTGCTGCGTCTGGAATGTGAGGCAAATCTTGTATTTCCGAAACTTCCACCGAACCATTGGCATAACTGCCCAAACGGAAGCCAACTACGATTTCACCCTCCGCATTCTTGCCAACTGTAAATTCATTTTTGTTGCGATAACCATTGATCTGGGGAGACCCTTTGACGCCTTCGAATTTGAAATTGTTCAACTCTTTTTTTGCGTCCTGGTTGATGTTGCGCAGTTTGTTGATGAATTTTTTTAGAAGCTCCTGCATTTCAGTACTCTTCTTTTGTAATTGGTCTTCGTAAGGTATGGTTGCATAGGGACAGATTGCGTCGGCAGATGTGCGTTGTCGCTTCGACTTTCCCTGCTCCTTCTGAGCATCCTCATTACGACGTTTCTGCAGCGGATCAGCTGATGCTTTTGCTAGCTAATATTGGATAAATTGCAGTTTGTAGGCGTTTAGATGAAATTATTTCATTACACTTACTGCTGCTTGCAGCACCTTGCCCTTCCATTTATATCCGTTAAGAGTTTCGATTGCGCGTTGTTGATCCTCTTGGCTACGAAAACAAACAAAAGCGAATTCTTTACGAAGAGGTGATTTGATTTTAGTCATGTTGAGATTGAGCTTGGCTCTCAGCAACTTTTTAAATTCCTAGATGAAAATACAAAGCCTAATTACTTGATCATACTTAGGGAAACAGATATCTTACGCCAATGCCGAAATAGCCCAAGTTTCGTACTTCAATTTTGAAAATTTCGGAAGTAAATTCGTTTCGCTTTAAATAATTAAATTCGTCATTTGGTATTTTAGAGTCAGCTTCCGTTGTTACATCCGCTGCTTCACCATTTTCTTTTACTTTGTGCGATTCGTTAGAGATTTGATCACTACTTTCTGTAGACACTTCGCTCATTGTTTTTGGTTTTTGTTTTTAATTACACAATTTAAATAAAAGTTCAATTAATTTTCACACTGTCGGCTAATTATACTGTGCGACTAATGTTTATTCTTAAAACATGTGGTGCTAGTAAAGGTGCGGTTAAACGTGGCAATGCAAGCGCTTTTTCTATACGTTTTGCTGTCAAAATGCGAAATAGAAAGTCTAATGGGAAATCTTTAGCTATTTGTACAACGATTTAGGGGCGGGGGCGGAGGCGGCGAGCGTGGCTCCCAAACCCCCCCCTAAACGAAGGATGATGAACACCGCTTTATGAAAAGTCAAGTTTTTTGATTCGATTCACGCGTTTGGGCCCATCAACCCAAAATCGTTGTACAAATTCATAAAGGCTGCGTTTCTTTATACATTCCGGATAATCCCATTTCACAGCCGGAATAAACAGAATGCGTTTGAAATATACGTCAACATATCATCAAGAACGTTCTAAAGAATAAATAAACAAAAAAGTTTATTCCAAACATTCAGAATGAATAAAGAAATGCAGCCAAAGAGTACCCAGTCTACTTTCCCGTGTAAACAGCCTGAAAGCCCTCTTTGAAGATTTGCAAAGATCACTTTCGGAAATAAAAATTGCAAGGTCAAAAGTAGCTGTTAAGTGGCTGTTAAAATTATAACCAGTTGTCCCTTCTTGTTATCAAAGAACGTAGACAACGTTCTTCTTGTTATCTACGTTCATTGCTTTGCCGACCAACCGACCAAAACACCAAATTTCGTCGAAAAAGATCAAAGTTGCAACACTGTTCGTGATTGAATACCTCATGCGAAGAAGAAGTAGCACTATCAGCTGTGTGCCGAAATAAACATTGAAAAACATAAAATTTTTGCTAAATTTTTTATTAAATTTGGAGGTACAATAAAATTGAAATGTTTAGTGTAATCTGCTAAAACTGTATAAAGTGAGGAAAGCATATGAAATTATCTGAATTCGTATTCGAAAATGTATGAAGAAGCTGGCCTTCACCGTTTCGGCACAACTTTGCCTGAATTGGACGAGGGTAAGTTGCAATTCACTTCATGTAAACCTCTGGATTTACCTCGAACTTTTTTTTAGAAACTATTCCATCGAAAAAACCGATACGACCAGAAGATCAAATTGTGACGGATGAAAATGGAAAGCGTCGTTTTCATGGCGCTTTTACGGGGGGCTTTAGCGCCGGCTATTGGAATACAGTTGGCTCCCAGGAAGGCTGGACACCAGCGACATTTAAGAGCTCACGTAGTGAAAAAGCAGCACAACGCTCTCAACAACGTCCTGACGATTTTATGGATGATGAAGACCGCGGCGAATTTGGTATCGCACCACAGCGGCTGCAAACTCGTGCCGAATATACTTCATTCGAGCCAGAGGACAGTCGAAAGCGAAAACTTATGGTTTCCCACAGTGGACCCATACCTGGCAAACCAGTGTTGGAGCAATTTATTGCGCCACGCGATGTTAAAATTGGCGAACGCATATTAAAAAGCATGGGTTGGCGCCCCGGACAAGGTATTGGCCCGCGGCAAACACGCAGGGAGAAGAAAACGGCTAGCAAACGAAATATACGTGAAATGTATTTAATGCAACAATATGGATATCAACCCACGGTACCTACGCCGAAGTCTCCAGGACATTCAGATGAAGCGGATGGCGAGACGGAAAGTTCTGATGATGAAGCTGATAAAATAACGTTCGCACCCGATGATTATGACCCCTATGTCTGCATAGCAAAAAAAGATCGTTTTGGTTTGGGTTACAATGGAAGCTTAAGTCGAGATCCTGTACTCTCAAATGCTTTGGGAGGAGCTGCCAGCAACAGGCACATAAATCTATTCGAACCAGCTTTGGAGGCGGTGAGTAAAAATAACACCAAAATATCCTTTAAAGGACAAGCATTTGGTGTCGGTGCAATGGAGGAGGAAGATGAAGATATATATGCTAAAGATGATCTTTCACGATACGATTTCTCGTTGGAGGATAATAAGCCGAAAAGGCGGAAAGTGATCATCGAACAAGATCGACTGATTGTTGAAGGGTTTTCGGCGTGCAAGACCCCGATTCTTTTAAAGAAGCCAGATAACCCCGTTGTACCAGAACATTTCATACCACGTAACTGGGCAGAACGAAAGAGCCGTTTCCAGCCAATGGATCCGAAAAAAGCTGAAGAAATAGAGACGTACTTTAAAAAGGTAGAGCTCTCTAGAAACAGATTAAACCCAGATGAACGAGCGGAGTTACTGGGAGAGATGCAGCTGATTAATGAAAAACCCACTACAAGCACTTCTGCGCGCCAGGAGCAAATGCAGGAACAAAATCAGAACAATTGTGAGCAACCACAGAACTCATCTCAAGATCCGTCGGCAACTCGAGTTGAAGGTGGTGGCTATAGGCTGCCAGAAAAAGCAAGGCTCATGTTGGAACGCCTTGAACAAGACGATCGCTTCACTCACGCTAGTGATACTGCAGCCAAAAGCAAGAAGAAATCGTCAAATAAGACTGAAGCTCTGACAGAAGTGACGAAGCAAGTTTACGATGGGTCCAAAAAACTCGATTCCACCATGTTCAAACCATTTTTATACGATGAGCAAAAACAACGTCGATATGAGGAGTTCCTGTTGGCCGAGGTAAAAACCGAGGAAGAAATTTCGAATTTCTTAAATCGTATACAACCAATTCATTTGAGCGAATGGGATCGGGAGATGGAGAAAAAGGAATTCATGCAGGCGCGAAAAATCTTTAGGCCGCTCGATGGGCTGATGTCACATCGGTGAGCACAAAATGAGTTATAATTTATGCCTTATTTTTTTTTAGGAATAGAAATGAACTAGGACTAACGCTGCTTCTTAATTCAAATTTCAGTTTCATCTCGGAGTCAAGCATTGAAGCAGAACGAAAGCCTGCTGAACAACCAGAAGCAAGTACTTCAGTTCCAAAGAAAATTGTAATGAAGCGTTCCAAATCAATGTGGAAACCCAATTCTCTACTATGTAAGCGATACAACATCGCAGAACCATATGGCGGCCACATGGAGGAGGAAAAACGGCCCTCTTCAGCAAAGATGTCGGTTTTCGACTATTTGGAAGATTGTGTCCATAAAAAGTCCGATTTTAAAACGCCGGTCATAGTGCCATTGAAACTACCAGAGATAAAGCCTATTCTGAAGCAAACGAGATGCGAGCCGGAAAGTGAGCGCACAGCTAACACGAAGTCTGTAACTTCTGTCTCTACCTGCAATACTTCGACCATGACCACACATAGTCTAAGCTCGTCGGATTCATCATCTACTTCTATAGTAGTTGTTGATCAGCTGAAGAACAAACATTCAACTGTGACGCAAATGAAAGATGACTTCAAAAAAGTAGGCCGTCCCACTGCTAAGACCAATTTAGAAAAACTCTCCGAAGAGTCTATATTGAAACCTCCAAGCGAAAAGTTGGAGCTCTATAAAGCCATATTCGATGATAGCAGTGATGAAGAAGGCAATGAACAATACGAAGCGACCGATGATGTTGCACTGAAGAAGGAATTATTGGGAACGCCAAATGACAAGAATTCGCGCTTTCCGCCATCCTTCAGCGCAGATTGCGTGAATATTCTGCGCAATACATCCCCGCCCCGTGGCATCTTTAGCGCTTTGCTATCAACGAAGGAGCAAAAACCCAAAAGTAAAGAAACAACAGCAAGTACCTCCATGGACATCATAGATATTGACAATGAAATAGAGCATAGGCATGTGAGATCTTCACCAGAAGCTGTGATTTCGAAAATTGGATTGATACCTGCTACTGCAAAGCCCTTTTGTGAATGCGACATCAAGTTAGAATTTAAACAGCCGACAAGTTGCTCTTCGAAAACATCAATAAATACGGCTTCAACAGCTTCATCAAAAGACCCACGCACGCCCAAAAGGCCATTATCTGAAACACATAAGGATCGAGTAGCGGGTGCGGGTGGACAATATGGTCCGGCAGTTGTGTCATGCGATATACCCAGCACTTCGTCGAGTGTAGAATCTAAAGTTTATGGCCCACAGCTTCCCCAGCATATACGAACACCCAGCAATATCGCGAATGTGGACGCGATGAATAAGGTTGTTGAAGAAAAGATGATCAGTTTTCTAGTTCAACGGGCAGAAGGTTGCAAGAAGGCCAGGGATGATGAGTGGGTAGAAAAGAAAGTTCGTAAGTTATTGAAAAGTAAAAAGGTATCCACAAGTAGCAGCAGCAGCAGCACCTATGAGAGCTCCGATTATGACTCCGGCGACAGAGCGCAAAAGAAGAAAAGTAAAAAAAGTAAAGCACACAAAAAATCAAAGAAAAAATCGAAAGAGAAAAAATCCAAGAAATCTAAGAAAAAGAAAGGTAAGCATTAAGCTTCATTTGTAAATATAGTGTTAGTCATATATACAATTTGCAAATGTATACAAATTTGAAAAACTGTAACAATTAATCAAAAATTACGAACTGAAATAAAGCGCTGAAATATGGGTGCACCATTTGAACTTCTTAAAGATTTTTTTTTTTATAAAAACTCAAATCGTATTTTTCACGTTGCGAAATCGGATCATACGGGCAGGTTCTACAAATCGCTTTCGAGTGAATTTCAATCCAATTCGCTTTGAATTCGAATTGGCAAGGGTGGAAATTCACTCTGAAGTGAATTGCCGAACCTGATAAATAAACAATTAATTTTTGAAAACAAAAACAACCTACTCAATGTTCATATAAAAATTTAGTAGTAGCGTTAGTTTCTTCATGATCCCATGATCGGAACTAAACTTTGTGGGGGACCACCCTTGACGAGCCACCTTACTGATAAAAAAAGATCGGAAATGGTTCACGTGGTCCAAAACTACCAAGTAACATACATTAAATATTCCAAAGAGTTGATAACCTCCTTTTTTAAGTCGGTTAAAAATATTCCAATTGACCACCTCCTCTTTTTTTTAAGTCGGTTACAAAGTTATATACAACACAGGAATTTCTTGTTTTTAGGGTTCACTGGGACCTCCGACATTTTAAACTCGTTCCTTCCAGACTTACCCACTCACTAATGGGCAGTACCATATACTACAGTCATCGACATGGAACGCACCCTACCACGGTATAAGCGTTGCACCCCTACCAAACCCCGCTAAGTGGAGTTGGCGGCAAAGTTATCTCTTCCGGCTAAACCCATAAGAGACAAATACATGCCCAGCATCTGAGCTTGTTTCACGCGACATCAACCGTGAACAGACCCCCCTTATAGCTATGATGCTCTGGACAGCACGTTATGATGTACGGTTCGCGGTCTCAGGCAGGCTGGCCGAGTCTGAAGACGAGGCGAATGTATTACGAAACTCCTTGAAAATTGAATCGTAAGGACAATGATACAGTTGCCGTCAACTTGCACTTTTACTCGACAACCACGTTTCCTAAACGGGGTTAGGTTGCCGAAAGAGAGCGCTTAAGCTCTATCTAGGATTACAGCGCCCGACGGTAAAGCGGTCGGCGGTAAGTGAAAAGCTGAACAGTTGCCGCAGTGAAATCTGTCAGAGTAAACACAATTGCGGCACACGACGGCTTCCGTCAGACGTCATTTTGATTTGAAAATTATCATTAAAAAACATTTTTTTTCGGTACGTGCGTGTAAGTACATATCGATGGCTGAGTGGAAGATCGACCTATCTCGGCAGCCAGTTCAAAAACGCCCTATCTTAGAAAACTTTTCAAGAACGCCATACTTTAGAATTTGATTGAAAAACGCGTTCTGAAGTAGGGCGTTCTTGAAAAGTTTTCAGAGGTAGTGCGTTGTTCAAAAATTTTCTGAGATAGGGCGTTTTCGAACTGGCTGCCGAGATAGGTAGATCTTCCACTCAGCCATCGATATGTACCCACTAGAACTTGAATGGAGATCTCCCTAAATGAGGAATAAAAGAGTACTTCCCTTGACCTGATTTCGCAGCAATAAGAGAGATTTGTAGATTTTTAACTCCTTTATTACTCGTTTAGGAGTCAATAGGGACATATCCTAAGCGAGCAATTAAAGAATGCTCCCTGAGGCATGATTTGGAAGCAATAAGTGCAATTTGTCGGTTTTGCACTCCTGTATTACTCGCTTAGGAGTGTAATGGGAGATCTCCCTTGTGAGCAATAAAAGTATCCTCCCGGAGACATGATTTCGGAGGTATAAGCGAGATTTGTTGGTTTTGTACTCAATTTTTACTCGCTTAGGAGCAAAAATTGATGTCTCCTAAGAGAGTAATCCAGGAGTGTTCTTTTTGATTGATAGGAGAACTATACGCACCTTCTTCAAAATAATTTTGTTTTTTGAAAATGTAGTATTTCTTATTTTTTGTTTGGAGTCTAAATTCTTGGCCGAGACACTTAGATCCACACAAGACCCGGTTGTTCCTCTTGGAAGGTTATTTCAGCTATGTATCATGAAGGGCTGTTCAATGCGTTTTACGTGAACGGCTGATCCGTAGTTGTAATCGAAAGCTGCAAGACTTTGTTTAAATGCCAGATGTTTAGATGCGATATAGACCTTATTTTTTCCAATAGATTTGCAGCGTATTGCTGGGCGAGATTTATTACGAAGAGCTTAGCAGTCGATTCGATCGCTTATACTCAGTTAACGTATACTTTAAGCGTGCGGACTATACGGGTTTGAGCGAAATGGGTTCGGTTTGCTATAACTACACAAATAGAGTTACATATAAATAAAGACAAACAGGGGTTCGGTGATTAAAAATTAAGGTTGGATTTTTGTAGAAATTTGGATAGTTGTGTAACCTTGCCAGTGTTGTTTCCATAAAAATCTCTGTAAACGTTTTGTGGTTTTTGAAAACGTAGAAATTATTTCTAATGTTTATGAGCTTCCTGCAGTGCACTATGGGAAATTTGACCCTATTTTGTGGCCAAAATTCTGAAAGTTGAGATATCAATTTAAAACTTGGCCCACTAGTAGGGCCATGCCGCGCAAAAATTAACCCGTAATGGTCACACCTCCAAAAAATAGCGTAATGGTCACACGGGAGTCCAGTGGACCCCAACCCAATGAACAGATGCCTCGTACGTTCTATTTTAAATATCGACTCGAATCCTCCACTGACCTTAAGTTTAATACTTTCTCTTTGTTATCTGACAGGTTTTTTTTCCAACTTTTTAATTATAACACCGTGAATTATTTCATAAAACTCATGATTTTGTACCAAGTAGTTAGCTAAGAAAAATTATAATTTCTTTAATATCGCACAAAATCGCAATATAAGATTATGGGGAAATAAGAGATCAGGGACTATTCTACCGATTTATGATGAGTTTTTTTAAACGTTTTTAAAAATTTTTTTAAAACACTAAATAAACTTTTTATTTTATTGTACAATTTCACTTTAAAGTCACTTAAATGCGGACGTTTCTTTGGCACAACCTTTAAACTATAATACAAGTTTTAATTGGTAAATATTCTGCTAACCGTCACTCTTTCTTTCCACTTTTCACTTTTGCAAATCAGCAAATAGATTACGAGATACACGCATTTGAAAGTGGTACAAAATCAAGCTACACATTTTTCGTTTACAGAAAATTTCGAAACTATCTGTTTGAGGGTTACCAAATCAACGGTAAGTCAATTTATCGAAAAACAGAGTATACAGTTTTTTACTCTGAAGTATTCTCTGTAAGATAAGACAAACAAAAATTTATTTCAAGCAAGTCAAGAAATTGACCTTTGGCCACAAAATAGGCTCAAATTTCCCATAGTGCAGTGAAAGGTCTGGCGCACGTAACCGGTTAGAATCCTATTAAGTCGTTTGACCTCAACAGGGGACAGTAAAATTTTCCTTAACCATGTTATTTTTTTCCTACTTACAAAAGTAAAAACAAAAAAGATTAGGGTGATCCTGTGAGTATACTAAAAATGAGTTATACCAATTGTTATAACATATCGTCTTTTATCTGCCTAATGGCTTCGTCCATCGTGAGTCTGTAGTTTCTACTAGGACTATTAAAGTCGTTGCACCCTTTCGGTTTTCTCATTACCTAGTATGCCTTTATAGCTAGGCGTCCATACAATGTCTATTAAAAAATTTGTTTTAACTTTTTAAAAATTTTACAGGTAAGACTTTGTGGTCTTGGGTGTTTGAGTATCCAGCAGGCAGTGTTCGTAGCTAAAATGAAGAGCTACATATTTTTGTTATGGTTGAGCATTTATTGACGTAAGGTTGTTTTTGGATTTTCGGCAATTTTAATAAAAACAACGAGGTTTATAAGTGTAAGTGCTGAAAAAATCTTTTAAAACCAAAATAAGGTGCAAGGCTCGTTACTATGGCACTTAAGGTAAGTGCACCCATTTCCGTGCTAATTTGGCCAACAATTTTCAAAATAGAAAAATAAGAAAATGTTAAAAAAAATTTTAAATAAAGAAGTTATGAAATTGATTACAATCGTCCAAATTTAAAAATTTCGTACTTCGCAGCTTCCAAGCATCATTATTTTAATTCAGATTTGCATTCAAGTATCAGTCAACTACAAAATGTTAGTTAAAACCCATGTGGGTGTTTCCATCGGAAGGTCCACCACGACAAAAAAAATAAAAGTCTTATATCTAACGTACATATATACGGGCCGATTTGTCTGCTTTTTAAAATATATACTGGCTATGTAAGTAGAATCATGTTTGCGTAAAATGGCCTTCCTAGGTGGCGCCAAGGTCGAGATATTTCGAAAAACCGTATTTATGGTCCGATTTGGTTCGAATTTGGCGTATGTAGTTGAAACATAATAAACCATAGATTTCCAACAAATTGACCCTGAATTGGTAGTCAAAATATAAAGTATATTCTACATAAAATACATGTTTTATTTGCGTTAAAAATTCATTTAAATGCAATATTAAGAACAATATAACGGACGAAATTTATGTCACGTAACGCCACGTCACGTGACGTTTCACACTTGGGGTTGTAAAAGAAAATTGAAACAAGTTGCATTAATTCAAAAAGCTCTAAAAACAACTAGAATTGCTCCAAATCATATTAAAATAAGTTTCATGAAAATAGCCATCCACAATTCGCAGACTTTTGCGATTTTGTAAGAAAAGAAAAAATCCACTTCCATTTTTTGTCACGTAACGACACTCTCTTTAAATGCTTATATTTCAGGACCAACCAGTCATGGTTGCCACAATTGGTAACTTTCTACCAAAAGTGGTAACTTTTAAACGGTTTGGTAACTTGGTAACTTTTATTTCATTTTGGTAACTTTTCCAACTAAATATCTATTTGCATTACTAGAAAGAACTGAATTATGTTTTGCATGTGCGTAATTATAAAAGCCCTTCGAGTTTCAGTGGCATCACTACCGACACTTCTACAAAATTACTTCGATAAAATTAGAGTCATCTCACAACAACTAAACAACAACAACTAAAACCACTTTCGAATTTTTGCGATAAATTTTGAATTCTACCATCTCACATTTTAATAGTGGCCATCTGGCAATTTTCGGTAAGGTCGGTAAGGTTGAT